GTTTTGTTATGTGATCTACCACCCTTCATCATAGTCAATTTCATAGCTTCTTATTCTTTTGCTGTGTATTGTTAGATTATGTTTTGTTATGTGATCTACCACCCTTAATCATAGTCAATTTCATAGCTTCTTATTCTTTTGCTATGTATTGTTAGATTATGTATTGTTATGTGATCTACCACCCTTCACAATAGTCAATTTCATAGCTTCTTATTCTTTTGCTATGTATTGTTAGATTATGTATTGTTATGTGATCTACCACCCTTCATCAGAGTCAATTTCATAGCTTCTTATTCTTTTGCTATGTATTGTTAGATTATGTATTGTTACATGATGTACCACCCTTCATCAGAGTCAATTTCATAGCTTCTTATTCTTTTGTTATGTATTGTTAGATTATGTATTGTTAGATCACGTACCACCCTTCATCATAGTCGATTTCATCAAGTAAAAGTCATTCGTAACTCGGAAGTATTGCTTCCCAACTTCCTTTGATAAATGGTCATTTTCAATAGCTGTGTAACCATAGGATCAATTTTTAAACTGGCCATAGGACTTCGGAGCAACCGACGCCATTTCCAGTTCACGGGATCAACTGAGACAAGCCAAAAACCCTCGCGTAAAAGAAGGCACAGAGCTTCACCAATGGGAAGCTATGCCAAATTCTTGGAGAACATTGGAGAAACATCCATATCTACCAGCATCTACCAGGTATTTATCCTACCATTTGGTGATGCAGCCTCCAATGGACAGACTAATAGCTTTCAGACCATTTTCTTGTCGCTTGTTGCTAGAAATCCTACCGGACGATTCACATGAGTTTTTATGAAATCTATCAGAATCTAGAAAACATTGATTCTGAGTAAAATCTTGGTTGACCTACTGTACCATCTGGGGGTTCTCCAACGGTACATGCCCTTTTCCGACTAGTTGGTTGTTCAACAGAAGTGATCCTCCCTTTTTCACGACCAATCAGGACATGGTGAAGTTTGGCTCCGCGTTTCCACCCAAAAAAGGGACTGCTTTCAGGCTGATCAATAAATTGGGGATCCACCATTTTTGCACAAACCCATACCATATTGTCCTGTTCTATCCTCCATTATTACCCTCTGGTTATTTAACGTAGCCATGGAAAATGGCCCATAGAAATAGATGGTTTACCTATTAATAGCATGGTGATTTTCCATGGCTATGTTAGTCATAACCAGATGGTAATATATACGTAGACCATTATCTCACCTGGATGTTGTCGGTCGCCATCCTCATGTTTGATGGTCACATCAAATGTGACTCCTATAGCTCGCTGTTGGTGGGATCCACATCCCATCACCATTTCGTTCCATGCTTATCCCCTTATATACTCAAGATTGCTCAAGTTTGTTTTTCTTACCAATTATAATAGTTTAAATGATTATTATATTCCCCCCATTTTTTTCTAATATTAAATCCTCACATTACCCCCCGTATCTTTGCCATTTTTCTTGGTGAAGTCCCGCATGTGTCGTTGGTTTCCAAGGCAAGCGAACGCGCCTGGAGGTCCACAGGTGCCGCATGGGGCGATGAAGATATGGAAAGCAACATGAAAAAGTGTGGCTATAGCTAGTATAGTAAGATATAGTAATACTATAGTAAGTTATAGTGATACTTCCCCATTAAACCCCATATAGTATAGTAATAGGAAGTTTCGAAGTTTTTCCTCACATGGGATTTAATGGGGAGTTAATGGGGAATTCATCGGATTTCATCGGGTTTTTTTTAATGGAAATAGTCATGTGGACTCAATGGGATCCACGGATTTTTTTTGGGAATTTCCATGCAGATTTGGATGGAAAACCGGTGATTTGACAGTTCGCTATCCAAGTAACATGAACTAAACATATTGTTTGTAGGTAAATCATCGAAGCAAATGGGCAATCTTCAATAGCTACGTGAAATTACCAGAGGGTATGGAGCTTTCCTAAGTCATGGGAGTACCCCAAAATCATCCAAGTCATTAGACGATTTTGGTAGAAAAAAAACCCTTGGTGACTTTAAATGGATCTCCCATTTGAAGAACTACAGAGAAAGTTGCCGATATTATAGTGATCATCTTACTTGGGGAAAAATGAGCGTATGATTAATAGTAGATAATGGCTAATGGTTATTAATATAAGAGATACCATGAGGATGATATTCCATATATAATCAGAATCAGAATCATAATCATAATCATATATATATATATATATACAAATAATATATGACTTGCGGGGGTTGGACAATGGCTTGGTTACCCCTTTGAGTGATGGCAATTTGAGCCAGCGATTTCTGGTTGGTTGGGAAGAGCCAGGTTTGCCGAATCACTGGGCCTGAGGCGCGATGTTGGATATAAGGTGTCCTGGATGTTGGGGATGTTCCAATAAAAATATAGAGATACCCTCTGGTAAACTAACATAGCTATTGAAAATTGCCATTTATAGTGGATTTTCCCATGAAACATGGTGATTTTCCATAGTTATGTTAGTTTACCAGAGGGTAGATATGGGTGATATAAGGGGGTTTCCGAAAAAAAAATGGGGTACCCCCTATTTTCATCTATTTGAAAAAAGGATGTTCCATTATATATAAACCATCCTGCGTTTTTGGGGATCCCCCATTTCAAGAAAACCCCACACCAATGTACAGTACCCATTGACACACCCAGATGGGGTGGGCGCTTCGTTGTGAGTTGAGCCAGAGACCTGCCTTAACTCTTCCAACCCAGCACGCCAAGGATTAACCGATTAACCATACCCAATTAGACTTTTTTAGAAGGCTAGTATAGATCATATAAACATATATAAACCCGATTGGACCCATTTTAGGGTCTAATTTTTAGGTCGACCCGTCATAAATGGACACTAGACCAGCAGGGCTCCGGTTACCACTTGCCTCTTTTTGGGATCATGATCCGAGGGGTCGCTGGTCAAAGGGGATCGCAGACGTGGTGACACAATGGAAAGTTACTGGTTGGTGATGTGGAACATTTGGATATATTGTTCCATATTTATATTTTTCCATATATTGGGAATGTCATAATCCCAACTGACTTTCATATTTTTCCCAAACGGAAAACCTGTAAAAATGGACTTCCCCTTTGCCAGGGGTTGGATGACCTCCGATGGTTTTTGATCATCTCCTTGAAAAGCCAAAAAAAGTAGCCGCAAAATGGGATTTGGAAGACAATTTTCCCAGTGAACATGGTGGAAATAGCTGGACAAAGGGGTAAAACCGTGTTGGTTTTCAGGGGCGTAACTCGCATACCTTGTGTAGAATCTAGATGTCCCCGGTCCGATAAAATCACCAATCCAAAGCCCGGCCAGGAATTGTTGAACGTTGCTGAGGCAGGCAAATGGCAGCGTTTCTTCCTGGACATAAGACCTTAAAAGTTGGGTTAGCATTTTATGGCTAGGGCATGCCACATTGGTGATATTTTGCTCGTTGTTCTGGACCTTGTTCTTTGTTCTTTCACTGTCTTGACCATGGTCCAGACCACTGTAATATTTGCATGACATCTGGCTGGTGGTTTGGAACATTTCTTATTTGTCCATATATTGGATTTATTGGGACTAGTAACCCCAACTGACGAGCATATGTTTCAGAGGGGTAGGTATACCACCAACCAGACATGCTGTTGGTTTGCCCCAATATCTGTTCGAATCTTGTTGGCACTTGCGGTGGGTAGAAAACCACGAAAAGCTACTCAGTTGCACTGGAAAAAGATACAGGTCTGGGTGTGAACTCAGCCCAAGAAGACGACTGGTCATGGTAACCCTTGTACAATTTTCAGATATTTTGGGATTTTCCACCAAAATAGTGATGAATTGCTATTAAGGTTGGTACCACCCCATTCATAAACTGGGGATTGAATTCATGGGTCAACATGGGTCGCCAGCAACTCATCAGTGAACGTTGCAGAAGCACGAAGAATGCACATTGCGCAACGAAGCGAATCAGTTGCCGGTTATCCATGGTTATCCTCATTTTGAATGTGATGATTTTTGTTCAAATGATTCAAATGTATATTTTCTCGTCATTGAAAAATCCCGTTTGCACAAGCATACCTGGATTATCCTGGATTCATTTGCATCCTATACGTTTCATTACATTTCAGGAACCTTATTGTGATCCACTTTAATCAATTTCAATGTTATTGGAGCAATACAGGGTCAGGCTGGTAACTTGTGCCACGGTTGTCTTCTTGTGCCGCAAACGGTGTGCCGTTGGGAAGTCAACCGTCCATTTTTTTTCCTCAGAACGGATTAAACACCTTTAAAAACCATCAAAACATGATAAGTTGGCATTGGCATGGGTAGTTTATCAATGTTTATCATTTGTTTTGTGTTATTTTGCCAACCTTAATCCTTTTCACATCTTTTCACTCGTTATTTTTGGGATCTTTCGGGGGCTTTTTTTTCAGCGCAGGAGATGATCACAGCCAAAGTGAACGACCTCATGGAGCACCGCGGGGGCGGACGCCGGCGCCCCTTCTCCGAGTGGGGTCGCCGATTTGGGATTTTTGTGGGGACCTGTCAGCCTGTGATGTGTGCCCTTAGAACACCCTGATATCATAATAATACACATACTGTATGTATATACAGATATATCATGATATATCATTTATATTATATTACAACATATGATATATTACAATATATATAATATATAGTATTATATTACTGTATATCACAGACATTTGGCCTCTTCTCACTAGCGAGCATTCTTCGCATTTCACCATCAGCTGAACAGCACTGGATCCTGCCGCGTTCCGCCAGCATCGAATTCATGGACAATGAAGCAACAGCATGGGTTGTACAGCAACAGCCAGTTGGCAGTCATGGACAGCAAAAGCCGAATGGCCGCAACATAAATCACCAGCTGGGGTGTGTTTTTTGTGGCTCTGAGAGGTTTTTTTAGAAACGCCAGGTGGCTGAAATGGAAGAGTTGGAAGTCAAATGGCCATGAAGAGGTGCAGTGGTCACTGGAATTCCTGGCCTGAACCAGCGCCATGGAAGGTTCTAGCCAGGTGAGCCCCTTCAATCCAGGTGCCGCTGACGGTGTCCCCAAGGTTCAGACTTTTGAGGATTTCACGTGATTTTAGCCAGCAAAACGTTGGGAATTCACCCAAACTTGGGATTTCACTCACCAGAAATTGGATTCAAACAGAGCTCAGGATGTAACCAGGAAAGAATGGGGGAGCTCTTGCCTCATAGTGGGTTAAGCAAGCGTTGCTGGGATGCAGCGTTTTGGAAAAAAAATGAGACGGAAGAACTTCATGTAAGATGATCCATAGATGTGACAGTAAGCTTCTCAACTGTGGCTAGATGTTGTCACCAGGTTGATCTTTCCTCCAAAGGACACGCTGTCACGCATTCAATTGAAGTTTTCATATTCATATGCCCACATTTTGTCGTTGAAACCCTAAGAGGACCCTCCGGTAATCAAACGTGGCTGACAGGGAATCCAAGAATAAAACTAGAGGTTTTAATGGGCATCATCTCTAAACCGTTCAAATGGATCCCCAATCTGATGGTTCTTGATGATTGAATCCTCAGTTGTTGAAAATCCAACTTTTGTCGAAGCCCCATGTTGTTGGTGCTTTGGTTGCTGCAAACCCTCATTCTTGTCGAAAAAACAAATATAGTTGGTTGAGGTTGAGTTCTCATGTTGCATATCTTGCTTAAATGCCTCATTCTGACCCATGCCATTTCCAGATTTCCCAACCGGCGATGTTCAAATTGCGCCCGCTGATCGCTGACCGACAAACTAGGCCAGTTATATGCCGGTGGATCGACAGTGACAGTGGATGTAGATGCTGGGACTGTCGTATTTTTGGGCCTCAGAGGTTTGCAACTTTCGCTACTTTCGTGCTGATCAAAATGATGTCTTGCAATAGAAATAATGTGGGTAAAACAATGTCATAAACCATCCACCAGTCATCGCCATAAATAGATGGCGTAAACCATTCCCAAATGGGTGGTTTACCATTGTTTTGACCACATTAGAACCGCTTGGGATCGGGAGGCTTGGTCGACTATCGTTGGAGCCTTGATAGAATCATCCCATGGATCATAACTGCTTATACCAAGTTAAGTATGTTAGGTTATACTTTACACTCCGTTTATCTCCATTAATATCATTTAATTCCATTAATATCGTTTAAACATATCATTTAAACATATCATGAACATATCATTTAAACATATCATGAGCATATACATACATTACATACATACATACATACATACATACATACATACATACATACATACATACATACATACATACATACATACATACATATATACATACAGACATACAGACATACAGACATACATACAGACATACATACATACATACAGACATACAGACATACATACAGACATACAGACAGACATACATACATACATACACATACATACATACATACATACATACATACATACATACATACATACACATACATACATACACATACATACATACATACATACATACATTAATTACATACATACATACATCCATGCATACATCCATCCATCCATCCATCCATCCATATACATATACATATACATAAGCATATACATATACATATACAGTTACATATACATATACAGACAGACAGACAGACATACAGGCATACAGGCATACAGGCATACAGACATACAGACATACAGACATACAGACATACAGACAGACAGACAGACGTACAGACGTACAGACGTACAGACATACAGACATGCAGACATGCAGACATGCAGACATACAGACATACAGACATAAAGACATAAAGACATACAGGCATACATACATACAGACATACAGACGTACAGACGTACAGATGTACAGACGTAAAGACATACAGACATACAGAGATACAGACATACAGACATACAGACGTACAGACGTAAAGACATACAGACATACAGACATACAGTCACACAGGCATACATGCATACAGACATACAGACATACAGACATACATACATACAGACATACATACATGCAGACATACATACATACAGACCTACAGACCTACATACATACAGACATACATACATGGCAGACAGACATACAGACATAGAGACATACAGACATACAGACATACAGACATGCAGACATGCAGACATGCAGACATGCAGGCATGCAGACATACAGACATACAGACATACAGACATACAGACGTACAGACGTGCAGACGTAAAGACATACAGACATACAGACATACAGACATACAGACATACAGACATACAGACATACAGACATACAGACGTACAGACGTACAGACGTAAAGACATACAGACATACAGACATACAGACATACAGACATACAGACATACATACATACAGACCTACAGACCTACATGCATCCAGACATACATACAGACAGACATACAGACATACATACATACAGACATAGAGACAGACATAGAGACAGACATAGAGAGATACAGACCTACATACATACAGACATAGAGACAGACATACAGACATACAGACCTATATACAGACATGCGTCGCCAAATCTCAACGAAGAAAAAATATTAAGTGCCAAGGGTGACGCCACGATCAAACGAAAGAAACCTACTGTACGTGTTAAAGCTTTGTGTCGTGGGGCGAGGTCTTCGTCGAGACTGTGCCTGACCACATCAACGATGATAAGGTTAAGACCACCGACGGCATGTCGGACATTGGTCCAGCTGTTGCCGAAGCAATCGGCATGCTGGACAATGCTCGCCGCAACGAGGAGAGGGGTAGCACAGTATTTGAAATGCTCGGCATACCAGTGGCGCAAGGCCAATATTAACTAATATCGCGCAGGAAATGCCTGGATCGTCTTCTGAAAAAAACGGCGCATTGCACAATTGAGGGAGCAGCCTGGAACACATGTGCTCTTTGAGGCGACGGGCGTCATCTTGTACCCCGTCTTTCAAATGCGAAACGCCCCCCGTGACCACAGCGCGAAAGGAGAAGATCGGCTCTTTCTAGGCAGGGCTTTGTTGCTGCGCTGCTTCTGGCATGGCTTTGGCATGGCTGTTTGTTTGGGGCGTTGCTTCCAGTCCCTGCGCTACCGCTGTCCGGTAGGCAAGGGAAACATCGGCATCAAAGATGAGCTGATAGAGACAATAGAGACGCCTTGGATCTTCCGAGTGTACGGGCCCAACGTCAAAGTGCGTTGGACAGACTCATCGGCTCACTTTTGCGCGCCGGTTGCCATTGATGTTGTGCAGGAGCATTTCAGCAGATGCGAAATGTTATTGTAGCCGTGACGCGGCGCATGCTTTCGTCTTACTTCCTTGCGAAAAAACATGTTAAAACCGAATGCCTGCAGGACAGCCTCACAACCCTGGACCCACCTGGCTTGACGCTGCAGATGCTGCAGATGCTGTTCTTGCGTGTGCAGATGTGCACAACTGTTGAGGCAAGCCCGTTGTCACCAATCACAAGCAACCTGTCATGTGGCATCACCCGCTACAATCGCAGCACTGCAGCGCGGCTGCCGTGCATGTGACCAAGTTTCATGTGTCTGGCCATGGGCGCGAGGCAGGCTTTGCCGCTGATGTCGGAAGGAACGCCGGCTGCAGCTGATTCGCCAAGTCTGGGGTCTCCCACCTGCGCGCGGGAAGCTCAACTTGCGGAATTGCAAGGCGGGTTGAAGTTCGGTGGAACGTCAAGTTTCCCTGTTGTACTTGTTGTACTTCGTATATTTCGACTGCCCTTGTCGAACCGCAACCTCCCATGTATAGTAGTATGTTCTATCATATGAATCATGTCTTGAAAAGATACAAGGCTGCTATGAAGTCGAGTCGGGCGGAAACCTTTCAAAACTTCAGACGAATGCGGACCCTTGTTCATCAGGTAGGCATGTCCGTGCTTTGGCATCGCGAGCTTGCAGGTTCTGATTCCCCCGCTGCCAGCACAAATGTCGCAGCTGACCATTGGCCGCTTCGCCGGCAGTACCAGCTCGAAGTCGCCTACCAAGAGGATTGGGCCTAAGGGGTACCACCAGTGACTGGGTGAAGGGTAAGCTTCGGGATATGTAGATATCATTATTGTGATGAATGGTGAATGGTGATTGATTTTCATAGTGGCAAATAACGTTTGATGATAATCATGATGTAATGGTGAATGATGGGTAAATGTGTTGGTTAATAATGATTTTAGTAATGATAATAAATGATGAATCTGATCAGCTGGCTATTCATGTTTTTTCTCCCCATGCATGATGGTAATTAATGGCTGGTAAGGGCTAAGAATGGTTAGTAATGGTTAATAATAATGGGGAAGCAACAGTGACATGGGGATAGTGAACTGTGATTAATAATAATGGTTTATCAGCTAATGATTTTGGTTTTTAATAATAATGCTACTGGATGAAGGAAGAACATCAGCAACAATCATTATAAATAGTGATATTCGCGGTTGCACAATGATAATCATGGATGGGGATGGTCAATCATGATGGTTCATGATGCTTGATACTGGTTAATTCATGATATATAAATCTGTGATTAATGGTTAACACCTGCAATATTTACTGTATTCAAGGGGATGGTTCATGACGATAGATCGTGGTTAATAGTGGTGAATGATGGTTAATACTGATACATGATTCTTAACAATGATGACTATTCTAATGTATTAACGGTTGATGAATGATCATCATGGGGATGGATCATGGTTAATGATAAGTACTTGTTAATACTTGTTCAGAATGGTTCAGAATGGTCAATAATGGTTTTATAGAGGTCAAACGTTGGGGTAAGACCCTTTTTTCTAGATACTGTAGATATGACAGATCGCTTTTTTTCATCTGACCGTCCGTGGGGGGAGCGAAGCGCTACGGGTGCGGAAGTTTCCAAAGGCACATCCCCACGGGCGGTAGACGCAGACATGCTAGATATAGATTCATTATGAATACCAAAGATAGATTTATATACAGTAAGGGAGAAATGGTGAAGAGGCAAAGGGGTCTTCGCAAAGAGCATATAAGCACACTGCCGTTTCTCCCAAAATATACATCGAAAAAAATCAGTCGAAAAGCAAAAAGACAAACAAAAGCGTAGATAAGGCCCCAAAAATAGAACCAGCCAAAATAGAAGATATTTCACTGGAATGAAACATTATGATTATGTAATGTAATTATATAATGATTACCTTGCCTGGCGTAGCCGTTTATATTATTCTGTTTTTAGCTAGGTGCGCCTCCCTTGGTAATCATTAACTATTCGTTTTTCAAAGGGGCAATGCGGAAGGAACAGTGCTTGGTGATAAAAAAAGAAAGCTTGCTACCTTTTGACCTTTTTGCATGCTCGGAAAAAACGAAAGAAAAAGAAAAACCGCGAAATCTCGAAGCCTTCAAAACTTGAATCTTTCGCCGACCATTTCCGCCAAAAAAAACTACTCACGGAACCGTCAGGCTCTTGCGGCTCCGGTAACCACAGCTTCAGCATACCGGAATCTAAAGGTCACAGCCTTAAAGCTGCATATATATATATATATATTGCTCTCCCATGAAAGCAAACGGAAGCAAATGACAGCAAACAATAAAAATAAACCCTGATGGGATCTTAGAACGCCTTTCTTTGCTGTTGAATCTTTCTCTTGCATGTCTAGCGCCTCCTTGCTAACCTTGAATCTCAAATCACTTTTCAAAGAAAAACAGCTACCAACCGCTTCTCGCGCACCCAGCGTTGGAACCTGGACCAGCGCGCAAGATTAATTGACTAATCAGCACCATGAGCCGCGATGCTAAAAAGAAAAAGCCTGATCCTGCAGGACCTCTGGTGACGCTAAAACTGTCGCATTGACTTCTGAAACCACTTTGAGCCATCCATGCACATCTATCTATCTGTCTGTCTATCTATCTATCGATCTATCTATCTATCTATCTATCTATCCAAAAAAGACCATCAAACAAACAAATTCTGCAGGGTGCAGGGAAGGGCAAAACCCAAGGAGCCCCGCATGTCTTTTGAAGCATGCCTTGTTCCGCTCTGCAGATCCCCGCCAAGTTTCAAGATGGCCGGCTTATAGCGGCCACTAAACTTGGCGCTTATGCGCAAGCAGCAAACGATGCGCCAAAAAGGTATGCTCCGGTAGAAGTTTTCGAAAGAGCAAAGGCTCGTTTGAAGTCGTGCGGCGTCAAAGCCAGAGCCGGCACGTCTTCGAAACATTTAAAGGGCCGTTTGTCTCTCCAAGGGTAAGCCGTAGAGCAACTGAACAAGGTGCTGAAAGCCGACCCCTTGGGCAGGGCGTGGATGCCACCTCCTGAGGTTCGGCTTTCAACTGCTGCAGGCGCAGCGTTCCGCCAAGCCCTTTTCACGACAAAAGCGTGGGGGCAAGGCGTGGAAGCGGAAGTCCTTCGCACTCCTCTGCCGGAAATTTGCTCAGTGATTGGCAACCGCTTGGCACCATCGAAGCAGCCGCAATTTTTCAAAAAGGCTGTCCGCGAAGGCATTGCCAAGGATTTGGTTCTGGCAGCTGAAGCAATGGCAGAGGAAAAAACGCGTGCAAAGGAGATCACATCAGTGCGCACGCTGAAGGACAGGAATTTGTTTTGAAACCGCTGAGCTTTGGAATCTTTCGGTGCAAAAAAATGCTTGCGGCACGCGGCTGTTGTGAACACATGTTGCGTTATAAGGAAGATATGCAGTTCTTGAAAAAGTAGCCTTGCTTTGCTCAGGTTGTGTGCCCCTTGCGAGCTGTGACGTTTCCCTGCGCGGCAACCTCAATCGCGAGCAGTTTGGAATGATTGGATCAACTTGAGGCATTTGTTCAATCATTTTTGGGTGTTTTCGTTATATAGATCTTAACCGGTAAGTACGCTGGGATACCACTAGCCCGTTTGCACGTTTATATGTCTATATATTTGAAAAAAAGGGTCGTGTGTATTGCTATGGTGTTTTAGCAAATGCTGATTTGTGGGTGGTTTGCTGCTTGTGATGACGTTGGATCTTGCCTTTTTATCGGAACCCAACGTCGCATATCATTGCCAAAGAGGATATTAAAGATATGATATGAAGTTAAATTACGTTATATACAGGAATTGATTTGGGTTGCCATTGAATGGATGATGCTGACTCAACCATTATACCAATATTTTAAATTTATATAACTATTTTTGGCTGAAGATGAACAAGATGTTGAATTTTTACTGGCAGGCGGGCGTGTTAGGCGGAATGTTCAGCATGTATATGGCCCAACGTCTGGTGTAAACTCCATATAGGACCCCACAACCTTCTCTTCTTCACAGCGTGCTCACACAGGAGCCCACGCACCTGGACCATGACTTCAACGTCCAGTGGGAAGAGGAAGGGGGCAGACAAATGGTGGCCTGAGCCTTTTTGTCAGACACATCTTCGCTATCCCCCGGCGCAGGAAATTGCTGATGGCTCTCGCGCAATGGGGTTTTAACCCAGCACACCAAGGCGGGCATGTGGCGGGCGTGGAAGGTTCAGAAGCTAAATGGCCCAGCCGCCACAGGCATAAACTGAATACAGATGGCCCCCCATCTGCGCTATCGACTGGCACAGGAGATTGGTGATGGCTCCGGGCGCAATATTGTTTTGACCCAGCACACCAAGGCGGGCGCGGAAGGTTCCGCAAGTATATGACCCAACCACCTCGAACGTAAACTAAATACAGACGGCACAGGAGCCCCCGTGCCTGGACCACGACTTCAACCTCCAGTGGGAAGAGGAGGCCAGAGTAATGCTTGCATCAAAAAAAATTATATATATATATATTCAGATACATCTGCTTTCTTTTGCTGATGATAAACGCATTCACTCATGACTTTTCCTGATTGCTGAGTGTGAAGCGGCTATGACAAATTAATTATGATCTCTAATTACTTTACATGTCTCACCCCTGCCACCGGTTGCCAACAAGGCGCGGCCAACCAAGAGATACCGCCTAACAGACATACAGACATACATACAGACAGACAGACATACAGACAGACATACATAAAGACATACATACATACAGACATACATACATACATACAGACATACATACAGACATACAGACATACATAAATACAGACATACAGACATACATACAGACATACAGACATACAGACATACATACAGACATACATACATACAAACATACATACATACAGACATACAGACATACATACAGACAGACATACAGACAGACAGACAGACCTACATACATACATACAGACATACAGACATACAGACATACAGACATACATACAGACATACATACACATACACATACGCATACACATGCACATGCACATACACATACACATACGCATACATATACATATACATATACACATACATACACACATACATACATGCCTGCATGCATGCATACACACATATATACATACATACATACATATACATAAATATACATACATAGACATACATAGACATATACATATACAAACATATACATATACAAACATATACATATACAAACATTTACATACGGAAACATACGGATACATACGGATACATACGGATACATGCACATCCATACACATCCATACACGTACATAGACGTACATAGACGTACATAGACGTACATAGACGTACATACACATACATACACATACATACACATACATACACATACACATACATACACACGCATACACATACATACACATACATACCTACCTACACACATACATGCATGCATGCATGCATGCACACATATATACATATACATGTACATATACATATACATATACATACATATATATATATATGTATACATATTCATATACATATACATATACATATATACATATATCTATATATGTATATATATGTATGTGTATATGGGATATACAGCGTACTGGGTACTTACCATCACCAAACCTTGCATCGTTTTGCTCAGGACGGCACCTTGGTACCGGTGAAAATCGATGCCTACTACGGGCCTCAGCCGACGCGAGCGACTGGGCTCTCCACACATCGCCGGCGGTTCTGAGGGCCACGGGGGATCCCCAGTCGTTACCAATGTTGTTTCAATACTAAGTCATGGTCCAATGACGTGGATGATTTGGGGTAATTGGTCCCCATTTTGGGAAACCTCTGTAAGTAGGTTTAAAGTGCTGGAAAACCTATTGCCATAGATGGATCATCAAATGCCAACCAAAAAAAACATGCTGAGTAAACTGTATCAAAGATTTGCCATCATGATTGGCCATGACACGTGAGTGGAAGGAAAATTTGAGATTGGACGAAGGGGCTCGAAGGGCTCAACATGTCGGAAGGTACAGGAACCATCAGGAACCACTTAGTAAATGGTTACCCTGTGGTAAACGTTTATAAATTTACATAACTATGGGAACATCATGGAACATCATGGAACATCACCATAGCTGCCATAGCTGCCATAGCTGTGCGTTTCCCGGATGACCTCATCGGGACCCCATCCCCCAGACCAAGGTGGGCGGACAGGATGCGGGACCCAACGACGCTGGGCGGTTTTCCAATGTTGGACGACGTTTTCCAAGGTTTTCCTGGATGTCCTAGATTTTTTCCTCCATAGTTGCATACCATTTCCGGGTTTTGATGTCTTGAATCATCTTGAATCTATGTTGTATATTGCAAATTTTCAGAATTTCTTGTTTTTCCAAACTGGAAACGACCTGAGACGGTCGTCGAAACTAGGATACCACGCCTGCAGGCCACACCATTGACTTTCGGGTGTGCACTCAGCTTCGTTGCTGGCTGTCATGCCATAAAATTGTTGATTGTACAAACCTAAATTTAAAGGGGAACCCCAACAATGGGGTCCGGATTTTTTTTTCCTGTGGGCCTGGCTTGACCCATCCAAGGACAACCTCCCGCTTCCAATCTTTGCAACTGAGAATGGTATCAGCGCCGCTTGGACAACGATGACAGTATAGTTTCCGCTTGAAGAATTGCAGGTGATCAGTTTTGTTTACTTGATTATATATAATGACATAATTACACTTGTTGTTATATCTGAGTTTATTTGCGTAGTGAGATTGTATGAGATTGTGCTTGGCCAGACACTTCTTACATGGTAGGCGTGTCACAGGAACTTCGACTTTTTGTGGTGACCGCATGGCATGAGGAAGTCGATCTGGCCAAGACAAGATTGGGATATTAAAATTTGTGAAAACTGATCGCCCTCAGTAATCTTTGGGTTTACTGGCCATCTCTTCAGGGCTTATGAACCATCTCTATTCAGGTCTTAGGCGCTTATTGAGGGATCACCTTCCAGGGTTCACGAAACCTGAAGCCCTGGGGTGATGCCCTGCATGCCGCGCCGATTTGGAGCCTATCATATAGGATAGAGATATGGAGGTATCCTAAAAAATGGGGTTTACCCCTAGATTATCCATTTTCCATTTCTGGGTACCCCCATGAATGGAAACCTCCATATAAAACAACAGAGAAACCCAACTTCTGAATACGATGATTCTTCGATCTTTATTAGTCGGTTGCCATCATGGGGGGAAGTTAGATGGCAACTTACTAACATTACTTACTTCCATATCACATGATACTACATTACTAATAGTTACTAATATGGTAGTTATACTAATATGGTAGTACTAATACATTACAAGAAAGTAATATGATTAATTACATTACTAATATGGTACTATAGTAATCGATGATATTACTTACTAATACATTACTATGGTAGTTATACTTGCCATACCATGACCCCTGGGGGAATACTTGCCATACACTGCACGATCGATCCCTCAGGGCACTCACAAGAAGTGGAGCGAATGTACCGCGACGGAGCAGAAACTGGCTGAGCCTTGGCAGGAAAGCCATGGAAAGCCATGGAAAGCCATGGAAAGTCCGAAGATCCCATGGATTTGCTGACAACAACTGGTAAAAATTGTCATTTTCATGATCATTTTGATAGATTTGGATGGTTGGAAAGCCAGGGAAATCAGCAAAGTACAAGTCTACTCCACCTGGATGACTTGGAATTTTTTGCTGGAATTTTTTGGCCATGTGCCCAAGATTCCGATCGTCTCCCCGAGGTTTACCAGGCTGTACCTTGGTTGCAGACGGAGAGCGGATCACGCCTAAACGAAAGCAGTGGGGTTGTCCAAGAAACATACCGTACCCTCTGGTAAACAGCCACATAACTATGGAAAATCACCATTTTCAATGTGAAAATCCACTATAAATGGCCATTTTCAATAGCTATGTTAAATTACCAGAGGGTACATGATACTCCAAAAAATCCTTCAGGGTCACATGCTGGAAATTCTTTAGGGACTTTTCCTCAGCTGTTGCCTCTGGGAAAGACGTGTGGTGATGAATCACCATTTTCATAGCCCAAACATGCCCAAACTGGGATTGTTACCACAGTTTCACCAAACTCATCCAAACTCCCTTGACACTCCATGGGCCTTCCCACCATGGCTTGAGCAGCTATTCATGATAAGCGATGGGGAAGGGATCAGTAGGTTGCTCCACTTATTCATTTTCAGTGGCTTATACTTGTTTATAAACATAGTTTATCAATGTTTACAGTATCATATTTTGCTATATTTCCAAATTATTTGTATAGTAGGTTGATTACCACCCTTGATTTATTAATATCCCGGAATTGGTTGAAGGGAACATCCGCAAGACAGCAAGCCACCTGCCCTTCGTTGGTGGAGAATAACCTATGACACTTCGTTGGTACCATGGCAATTGGTTATGGTGCCGTGGTTATTCAGTTGGTGTTGTTACTTCTGGTTTTCGTCGTTACACGTTGTTATACCCATACTAAGCCATTGTTATCCATCCCAGATTTGGTTTACGGGACAAACAACTACCGGAAACTCGGAAACACCCATATTTTTTGGAAGGCAATAGTAAACCATCAAAATATGGGTGGCTGTTGCTTTACTAATTGCCCACCAGAACCATATTTCCTGCAAATGTTCCCTCCAACCAAGTTGCTCCCAGGCCAAGATCAGCAAGCTGCGACAAGACTACGCTGCAGATTTGCTGCTTGGTGGCCAAGAGGCCAAGGTCCGTCCGAGGGCTCCTACCAATCCCAGGTTAGGTGATTGGTTAAAACCCAACATCAATTGGGTTGTTGTTGTTTTTTTGGGGGTATGATGGGGTATGAACTTTCAAAAGTGATGATTTGGGCAGTGTAAGCTGCTTCACTATCATCACTTTGATTTTTGAGACTGCTCAACTAGGTACATGTGTTAACTTCAAATTTTGGGGTAGCATCTTGGGGGGATATAGCGCGGATGTTGCATATCTATGTTAGTTAAAGGTAGGGTAACCCTCAAAAGTGATCTTGTAAGTCCTAAATGATGCTTAAGTGCATGATGGTTAGTCGTTGGTAAATCCCTTAACCCCTACTTTAGGACCCAACAGCCTGTCCTTGCTTTATTTATGCATCCGTGGAATCCCCTGGGAGTTACCTGAGCCAAGACCCAAGGGTACCCAGTGAAAAGACACCAAAATTTGTGATACTTTGTCTCATTTTAAGGGGGGCACCACATTTTTTAACATTTTTTAACCATTCAACAGTGGGGAACATGATTTTATAAACTATTGCATGACAGCATTTTGGGTTGCACATTTTTTTGACAAACACCCCCGTTCAGATTATAGGTGGTATGCCCGATCACCTCTCGTTCGTTCGGTGGCTGCTGACCATCAGGTTCCATCGCTTGAGCTGGGAGAAACAGCTGGCTGAACTCAAGGCTGAGATGTGATGACGCCACCGCGAGAAGACCAAACATCTCCAAACCATGACAGATTTACAAACCATTTCGTGGTAATCATGACTGGGGATGGTAAACATATATGTTTATAGCACCCATAAAACGTAAAATGGTGATGACTCGGGGATGGTTATATGGCATTGGCTTTACAACATTAATCAAATTATAGGGATGATGATGAAAGAAGGTGGGAGGTACCAATTTTTAGTCAGAGAACCATCTTCGCCAATGTAGATAGCCTTGTCAGTCACTCACCTGTCAATCTGTCACAGGCTCTCCGCACCTAGCAGCTAAGGATGTGCCATGCCAGCAGCTGATTGGAAACTGTAGCTACAAAGCTACATGGTTTTGTCTGACAATTTCTGGGACAACTCCCTGAATCCACTGGTTCATCATGTTGCTTCATTTTCTCCATGAAATGGGAACACTTTATGGGTATACCGTACAGTATACCATGGTATACCCCATGGTATCAGACCCCAAGAGAGGGATACCCCCAGACAAGCCAGGCTCATTAAGTTACTCAGTGGATCCGGTGGCATCACTTCGGATGGGCCACCGCCTGCCCTCAATGTGCGAACCGCGGCTGGTAATTTGACCCAGTCGAACCCAGTCGATTCAAACAAAAAGGTGTCAGAACGCGGGGCCGAGTGGCGGTTGAAAAGCTGTTGGGGATTGGTGGATGTAGCGATACCAGTGTGGTCTATAGATCTTATATGATATTACTGTATATGATATGATATGATAGTATTTATTGTTGTTTGTATAATCAGATAGTAAGGCTTATGAATACAGCCAATTAATTCAGCTTGACCCTGAGAATCGCACCTTTTTGAAGGAAAGTAATCTTCCAACCTCCAACTCCATGGCAGGGCCGTCATGTCAGCCGAGGTTTTCGCCAATCCCAGTGGGGCAGGTGCGGCCTGTGTAGCATTTCAGTGGATGTGTCCAGAAGTGGGGACTTACATCCCCCCAACAAAATTATCAGCCTAATAATGTCAACATATGTCAACCCTGGATTAATAGACCCTTAGCAGGGGTGTCATTAGGGGGTAGCGGGATTAGCGGGTGCAGATGTTTGCAGTTTCAATGGGGAACAGATAGTTTTTAGCCACTGGATGCACGGGAGTCTTGTTGCTTACTACAACTTGGTCCTGGTGGTTTCAAAGGTGACTCCCATGACTCCTACGACTGGGGCGTGCAGTTCCAGTTTTTTGAGTGGAGAGATTCCGCCATAGTTATAGGGAGTCCCAACTTCTGCTTATCACTACTGTTAGTAGCCCTAAGGTTATCCGCGCAACTGAACCCCCAACCGGAGTCCAACGATGCTCCGACCTGTCAACCTGCGCTGCTGCTCTCATTTTAGGATGACAATCCACTTATGAGCCATTCTTGGGATACCTCTGTTGATGGGTTGAGAACTAGGGGCTTCAATACTAACCCATCATTATTAATGAGTAATGATGATTTTTTATGTCATTCATCATCATTTAATGAAAGTCATCATTAGTTATTGGTTAATCATTTATTGGTGACTAGTATTAACTGGTAATTAATTAATATTAATGGTGACTATTATTAATGACTAATGTTAATCATCAATATTAATATTAAGTCATCATTTATTGGGTACCCTCTGGTAAACTAACATAGCTATGGAAAATCACCATTTTGAATGGGAAAACTCACTATTTCTATGGCCATTTTCAATAGCTATGTTAGTTTACCAGAGGGTAACTGGTTTATGGAGGATTTTTCCATGGCTGAACTGCTGTCACGGCTCTGCTGCAGTTCACACCTTCGCCCACTGCGCCGGTGGCCCTGGAACTCAAAGGCGGGGATGCTTCAACTGTTTTGCTATTGAACATCCCATTAAACATGGTGATTTTCTATGTTTATGGCCATAGAAATAGTTGATTTACCCATTAAACATGGTGATTTTCCATAGCAAACTGTTAGTTTACCAGAGGGTAAACACAGATGTTTTTGTTTTTGGCATGTTTTTTTGAAGGTTGGTTTGTAAATCTTGACGGGTCTGGTTAGTTTGTTTTTTTGTCATTTGATATAGCTATTTTTGGTGTTGGGGTTAATTCTTTGGGTGTTTTGGGTCAAATGTTCAGGGATAGATGGGGTTGGAACCTTCACACACTTTCAAGATGACCACCTGATAAACATGCCCATTCTCCTTCTCTTCCAAGGCAGTTAAGTATGTCCCTTACTGATTTTTTTGGTGATTCTTGCAGCCAGGAAATCAAGTTGTTTTTCTCGACAGGTCCAGATGGTGTGGGCATTGTGCCCATCCCAGTTCCGGCTCCAGCGTTGCAAGGTCCGGGAATGGGTCACAACTATTGACCTTTCAAAATGGGTGGTGAAAAACATGGGACGTTCAAAGATTGCGAAACATTCGGAAATTTTGAGGATAAAATTCTTGTTTCCGACTTCATTGAGAGGGTTTTCTGAGATGCTGACAGATCTTTGTTCTTGTGCCGTTTTGACTCCGAAGATCAGAATTGACTTCAAAATACTTTAGCGATAGGACAGCTGGGAGCTCGCAAAGAACAAAGCCCATAACTCTGCCAAAAGATTGCACTGAAGATGGATGCACTGTAATTGTAAGTACATCTATATAGAATCATACTGATAGATCCTGGAGTGGATAGAAGATCAACTTGGACCATCCCTGATAGGAAATCGCGCTTTGAAACAGTGGTACATTCCATCTACCGTTCAATTCGCGCATGGCTTGTCAGGCCGAGGGCCGTTGGGAGCCTCAGATTCTGTCAACAGCCAGGCAGCCAATCCCACGGATCCCACGGGTTAAGTGGAGATCCAATTAGGATTGGAAAGCCCCCATTCGGCTAGTAGATTCGAAAGCTGATGTAAAACAGAAAAAAACGGCTGGTGTTCCAAAATGGGTCAAACAAAAATGCCAGCCATAGAATTGTCGTTTTTTTTGGCGCCGAACTGGCGACCACGACGTTTGTTTCCAAAGTAGCTGCTCCGCAGCAGGTGAATGTGGTCTGTGTTGTTGCTTCCAATATATCCTGACCCAGTAATAGTAAACATAGAAAAATAATGAAAAAAAAATGGAACAGATATGGACAAATCCACCCTGAAATACCCTGAGAGTAGATACTTTCCAAATGAGACCCCTTGGGTTTCTGCATTTTCTACGTGAAGCACCGCACCTGCGCCGCTGAGGGGTTTCCTTGGAGGTGCGACGACCGTATATGACCGTGACATGCGGCGCGGGATCCCTTTTTTTTGAGACCTAATTAATCGTGGTTAATCATGATAATATCGTATGATATCAGATTACATTATCTATATCATATGATATGTATACAGTATGATATTCATATAGCAAATATAGCATATGGTATCACATGATAGCACAAATTACAAATGATTTCGTTCAACCGCCCCGGCAGGTGCTCGGATCGTGCCACCCCCGGAGGCGGCCACGACGCTCGGTGTGGAAAGGATCGAAGCGTCCAAGCCCGATGGCTGGGTCGGGTCGTAGGTATGTGAAGTTACTGGAGGGTATCTTCTGGGATAGTTTGGGAGAGTTTCTGGGGATAGTTTCTTTGATATAGGTATGGTATACTATGGTGATATGACATAATATGATAGTAGATATAATAACTATGATAATATGACATGATATTTCAGACAATGATAGTATACTCCCTCTGGTGTTTTTTCAGAAACCTGGCTGAAAGAGTGGAACGAAAAATGGAGGCTTTTTGGCCGGGAACCCATCATGGTTAACTATGAGATTTTCCAGAAAGCCAGGCGGGCGATTATGTCAAGCCCGGAGAATCAGAACCCCCACTGGCTATGAAAAAAGGCGGAACCATTTGAGCAGCAGATGGTCGAAATTTGAAGAGGATCCCCCCAAACTAATCAACCATTGCTAAGACAAATCCTGAGTTGACATAATCACCCCAATTATAAGAAGGGCAAATATGGATAAATAGGATTAGTCCACTTACAGCTGGGGCTGCCACTTACCTGCCGACCAAGTACACATTTCTGTAGAGATTGAGGTTCCGAATAAGGAGATCATCTGTTTCTAGCGATTATTAGTTAAATAAACAATCCCGCCATGGCTGAGATCGAGTGGAATGCACCCATTGAGTGAATATGACTAAATATTGGATACACATGATAGAAGATTAGATACTAAATCTTATTTACGTATGATATTAGATAGCAACATATAAATATTTAGTACACATCTCTTTTGTATGGCATCGCTTCCGGAAGCCAAAGTTGACCATGGACCATTTTTCCAGCCAGGTGAAGCGACTACAGGACCCATAGAAAAAATGGGGATTGGTCATTTTTTCCCCAGGGGACTCTGGGGACTCCCAAGGATACCCAATGACTTGGCCCGTAGCCATTTGAATATCCCAATGATGGGGGAAAAGCCCATGTTTTTTTTCTTTTGGGCTGACCATGTTCCGAAGGAACGCATGGGCATCAGAATTTTTGTTGATTAAATCCCAAGATGGGACTTTTTTGCTGTGACCATTCAGGAAGACATCAAGGCACTGGAATGGTGGGGGTTCAGGTGGTTGGGGTATGGCCAGATCCAAAACCTGGAGTCGAGTGGCAGACAGATCTGGATGTTTGGTGTTTTTTTGGGGTTGACTAAACAGAACTGTTAGCTGGATTTACCAAACGCAACTGTTAGATGGGTTAGTAGATCTTAGATGGATTAACTTGATACAAAGCTGTTAGATGCATTTACTGATTTACTACTGTAAACAGAAGCCACCAAGAGTTACTGTACACTTTTTGCAGGGAATCAAGAAGCCATGAAGTTTTTATCCACAACCGATTGCAAATATGGAGGATTTTGGTTCGCAGCACCAGCAAAATTCAACGTGTTGCCAATGATGTTTTCCCACAAATTCATATAGTTTCCAGGTGTACAGCTTTTTTATTTGGGGTTAACCCTTTGGTTATTGAACGTAGCTAACGAAAGCTATCGAAAATCACAATTCTTAATGGGTGAAAATCATCACAAACATCGATACATGGGCCATTTTCCGTAGCTATGTTTAAAAAAACCAGAGGATAAATCCCAATCGTTCTGAAAGTAGATACCCATTGATAGGTGATTGTCCCAACAAGCCCTCCAGAGATTTCCCCTATCTTGGGGCCAGCCGCGAGGCCGAGTCGCCCTACCATGTGGGACGCTTAGTTTTTTGGGGACTGGGAGACTCAATGACTTGGAGCGATTTACTGTTGGGTTTGTGGTTATGAAATAACCATAGATCTGGGTGTGACCGAACCCTGGAATCATGGTTGGCCCAACATTTCAGGTGAGTGAAATATTGTAATTTACCCAGATAGATAGGGCAACAGTAGCAGAAAGCAAGAAACATACAGAAAC